GAGCACTGCAGCCCAGGGAGCACTGCAGCCCAGGGAGAGCACTGCAGCCCAAGGAGCACTGCAGCCCAGGGAGAGCACTTCAGCCCAGGAGCACTGCAGCCCAGGGAGCACTGCAGCCCAGGGAGAGCACTGTAGCCCAGAGAGCACTGCAGCCCAGAGAGCACTACAGCCCAGGGAGCACTGCAGCCCAGAGAGCACTGCAGCCCAGAGAGCACTGCAGCCCAGGGAGCACGGCAGCCTAGGGAGCACTGCAGCCCAGAGAGACTGCAGCCCAGGGAGCGCTCTGCCCCACAGCCTCCACCGGCCCCTCCCTCCAGCCCTGCAGCCTGTGAGCAGGAAACCCAGATCCTGGCCGTTTCCTCCACCTTTTGACACTTCAGTTAGTTCCACCCCCAGAGGTTCCACTTGCTTCCTCTCCAATCTATCCCCTCGTGTCTAGCCCAGCCGGGCCTCTCACTGCTACTCGAGGGCCCTCTGACTCTAGTCCTCCCCACGTCCATTAGACATCAACTGTCCACTGTGACCTGCCTAAAACAAAACACGGAGCCAAGGCACTCCCCTACCAAGAAAAGCTACCTCTTGCCTTCAGGGGAAAACCCAATTCCAACCAGGACCACGGAGACCCCTGAGGGCCTGGCCCCCTGCTTAGCACTCTGACCCAGTCAGCAGTGTCCCAACAGGCCTACAGCCAAGGCCTTTGCATGCCCTCTGCCCTTTCCCGGGAACGTCCTTTTCCTCCTTGTCCTTCAAGATTCAGGCCACACAGGAGCCTCCAAGAAGCCTTCTGTGACCTCCCAGGTTAGCTATCCCTCCCCTGGGTTCCCAGCATCTTATCCTGAACTGTACCACCCTAATTATCCACTGACGGGCCTCCCTCACTAGGCTGGGAGAGCTGAGTCAGGGCCTGGCCCCACCTGCATGTCTGTCCACACGAGGCCTGGCCGAGGCCAGGTGCCTGGTGATGGCTGAGCTGGGGAGTAAGCGTGGGTGCCGTCAGCGCTGGCACGCCGGCCCCACTGAGCGCCGTCTGCCCCCGGAGTTGGCCTACCTTCACATTCACAATGTGGTAGCTAACCCGGAACTCATAGTTCTTCAGAACCTGCAGAAGCGCTTCCTTTGTCTGGGGGGAAGTGAAGAACTCCAAGTAGGCCTGTGGGGAAGACAGGCACCCGTCACACACCCCAGGTCCCTGCCGGATGCCTTCTGGGTGCTGCCAAGCATGCTGCCTACACTCAGCGACACCACTCAGATGCTGCCCTCCAGGAGGGACCCACGCACACATGTGGCAGGACACTTAAGGTATCGGGACTAGGGGTGGCCACACGGATCGAGTCATGAAATGTGGAGCTGGCGAGTGCATAAGAAAAGGGGAGGGGTTTGGTTCAGAGCTCTCTCAAGAGTTTGAGCTCTGAGCAACAGCAGTTCGATTCCCGGCCTGAGCTGAGCAGCCACTGAGCTGCCAACAGGTGGCAGGATGGCTCAGCTAAAAAAAAAAAAAAAAAAAGAAAAGAAAAGCGGGGGAGGGGGGGGAGCAGGTACGTGAGGCTTCTGTCTGGACAGGTCTGAGGGACCTCAGTGCCCCCCTCCTTCCCATCAGTCAGGGAAGGTTCCACGGAGAAGCCACTGCATAGGAGGCCCAGTTTGGCAAGCTGGCCTGCCACATCCCATGCTCCCCACTCACTGGACAGTAACAATGACACAGGGTTTCTCTAAAACAGCGGTTCTCAACCTTCCTAATGCCGCGACCCCTTAATACAGTTCCTCATGTTGTGGTGACCCCCAACCATAAAATGATTTTCATTGCTACTCTATAACTGTAATTTCGCTACTGTTATGAATCGTCATGTAAATATCTTTTTGTTTTCCGATGGTCTTAGGCGACCCCTGTGAAAGGGTCGTTCGACCCCCAAAGGGGTCGCGACCCACAGGTTGAGAACCGCGGCGCACCAACTGTCTATCAGGGATTAGGCTGGGTTTATTTAAAGTCATTTGTTCTAATTGCTCACAATACTGCAGGGTGGGCCCTCTTATCCTTATTTCACAGATGAGGAAAGTTAAGCAACTGGGCTGTTCTGACGGTAAACAGCAGAGCTAGTCTGAAACCCAGATCTTTCTAACCCAGGAGCCCGGGGGTGGTTCAGTTGAAATGTAATTTTAACTTCAGCAGCCCCGGGAGAAAGGTGTCAATTCCGAAGAGTAATAATAGCTCCCAATAGAGAATGCTCTGTGTGTGTTCTTCCCACATGCTAAGCTTTATGTGCTGTCACGTTTCCTCCCCAGAAGGAGATGCGATATAGCCCCGCTTTGCGGAAGAGAAAGCTAAGGCTCAGAGCAGTCAAGAGACCAGCTACTTGGGGCTGTCTGCCTCAGAGTGAGAGCTCCTGTCCACCCTGATCCACTGCCGCTCGGAATGAAACGCCCCCGGAGAAGAAGGCTTCCCTGTCCCCATCTCTGGGGCTCCCGGGTGCCCGTCAAGGTGGGGTAGCCCTGTGCATCCCTGCCACACCTTCTGGAAGACATAGCCCCCGCTGGGGCCCCAGCCCACGACCCGGTCGGTGGATGACTGCCCGTTGATGTTGGGCTGGGAGTTGATGGTGAGAACGCCCTGCCGGTTCACTCGCAGCAGCTTCTCCTTCAGGCTGGACTCCGCCGCCAAGGGCTTGTCATTCCAGGGCAGGCAAGTGACCTGAGAGAGGGTGAGCCGGGCGGAGCCAACGATGGCATCTGTCACCCTGGGTCCCTCCCTTTTCACGGGCCCCATCAGAGACTCAGACTGTGTCTGCCTCCATGAGCTCCTCTAGGGCCCCCCAGGTGGGGGCTTCCCAACTCACCCACCTCCCTTTGGTAAAGTGCCACGTCCATGAGATGAGGCTCAGGGTGGGAAGTCCCTGCCCCGCGGTCTGGCCCACAGGGAGACGAGGAGCGGGGATAGAACCAGGAGTCACACCCCAGCACCAACTCACTGTGCAGCCATTCCAGTTTGGCTCTCCCGAGAGGTAGTGAGTAAAGACTTCAAAAACACTTTCTTCACTGGTCAGCTCCTCCCCCCACATCTTGAGCAGCTCTTGTTTTGGGGACTTGCTCTTCAGGTAGAAGGGGTCGTGGTCCTTCAGCTCTCCAAAGGCTGAAGGGGAAGAATTGCCCCTGGGGGAGAAGGTGCCCAGAAGTCAGGGCACACTCCTGACCTTGGGCTCCCTACAGGACAGTTGTCCCATGTCAAGGGCACCATTCCTATGACTCCTGTCCCTCACTGCACAGAGGGCTCAACGATAAGGTTAGCATGCAAACGCCTCCTGCTTCCCACCTCCTGAAGAAACAGGACTCATCTGCAAAGGACCGTCTGCAGGCCTCACCAGCGGCCGTGGGGGAACTCATCCCACTCCTGGGTGCGGTAGATGTAACTCTTTGGTCTGCAAGTCCAGAAGATGGGACGCACATCTTCCTTCTGGCGCCTGGGGTGGGCACTGACAGCCCAGGGCAGGAAACGCCTGGATGAGAATGGGGACAGGAAGGGTAAGGGACTGGCTAGAGGGAGCAGGGAGGCATGGGGAGGGGCACCACTGAGCCTGGGTTCTTCAACCTGACTCACAAACGTCAAGGTGCACACGGACTTCTCGCTGAGATGGGAACCCTAGGTGTGCCACTAGCCATGGCGCAGACATCCCCCTGCGCCCCATGGAGGCCAGCGTTGCTAGGGGGCTTTCTTTCCATGACTTCTGACTTTCCTGCCCCTTGACTTTCTTCTGTGGCTCCTGGGCCCGAATTCGGGGCCACTGGCCTCACCTGGGGTTTTCGATCCACATGCCCAGGCGCTTCAGCACCTCTATGGTGGCCTCCTTGCGGTTGAGGGTATAGAAATGGAGGCCTGGTACCAAGCCACTTGCCAGCAGCTCCTGGCACAGGCTCACAGCCTTCTCGATGCCGTAGTTCAAGATGGCATCATCGTTGTCCTTGATTGGCTCGATCACGTTCTTGATCTGCTGCGGCACCTCCAGCTTGGACAGCTTCACAAGCTGCTGGAGGGAGTGGTAGTTCTGCCAAGACACGAGAGGGCTATGGGGCTATCTCCCAGCCCGTCTCTCACCCTGTTTATCCTTCTTCTGCACCCCCCCAGCAGGTCTCCTGGCCAACTCTAGCGTGACACAGAGTAACCCAGAAAGTCAGACTCTACTGTACAAGGATCCTTGCCTGGTCCTGCCTTTTCCACTCTGCAGAGGACAGCAGCTACCCAGAGCATTCCTGCCCTCGGTCTGCTCCAGCCCTTTAGCCCTAGATGTATTCACTGATAACACGGTGGCAATCTACCCAGTGGTTTCCAAGCCTCGCAGACCATCAGAATCACCTGCAAAACTTAAGAAGTAATGTACAAACTCTCAGGTCTACTCCATCAGAACTTCTAGGCATGGGATCTGGAAACCCATCTTTCGAAAAGCTTATCAAAGGATTCTGATGACAGCCAAGTTTGGGAAACACTGATTTAACCACAATTTATAATGAGAGTTATAATCCCTTTTAGAGGCACTTGTCAGTAAGCTAAAGTACAACAAACCGCCCCCAACAGGTACTGTTGCTGTCCTTTGGGGGGAAATTAGAGGTAATCAAAATGCAGTGGTGAGACATCATTTTGCAAGGAGCATCTGATGGGAAATCCAACAAGTGTCAAAGAACTTGACCATGAACTTAGCACCTCACCCCAGGGCCCTGGCCTGTGCTAGGATGGGGTGTGGAAGGAGTCCATTAGCCTTCCTGGGATCCTCACCTGAATAAGAAAGATTCCGGGGAGGATGGGGCAGGTAATGCCTATCTCGGAGCAAGCCTTAACAAAGTGGAAGAATGTGTCAGCCTCAAAGAAAAGCTGGGTGATGATGAAGTCGGCTCCTGCAGATACCTTCTCCTTCAAGAACTTCAGGTCAGCCTCAAAGCTCCCTGCGTCGGGGTGGCCTTTGGGGTAACCTGCCAATAGGGATGACAGTAGGGAGAGGCTGGCTCCACCTGCTCAAGGTGAGTAAAGCAGAAACCAGAGAGCTGGGACCTGAGAGTTCTCTACCTCTGGGGTTCCGGGCTCATACCTTCCAACACCACAGCACAGACAGGCTGAACAGTGAGAGGCTGGGCTCACATGGATGCGCTCCCTCACCTTGGCGATGACCTTCAGTGAGCGGTGGCTTAGAGCCACCCTCTCAAGAGTGGGGGTGGGTTGCTCCAAACTCCCCACACTATCCTACCTCGTGTCCCTTGCAACCAGCCAGACAAACCAGGCCTACACTTTGTGGCCACAAAAGAGACAATGCTACAATAAGCATCGGTCAGGCAGCATTTCGGGCATTGGGCTTGACTCTAAGCACTCGATTAAAGCAGCGCTTTTACCATTAAAGGAACTCAGAGGTCCAAGATAGTGAAAAGTTAGACACCATATTACACTAGAAAGAAAGTGGAGATGTTTCGCTTGAAGAAAAGAACAAAGAGAATATAGTAACTCTTTCTAAATGGCCAAAGGCCTGTCGCAAGGAGAGAGGATTCACGTTAGTCGAGCCCCTTATTAGTCAAGTTCTGCGATGCTTCTGACGGCAGGACCAGAATCAGTTTCAGAGGCTGCCTGACAACGGTCTGAGCAGCTCCACCAAATAACAAGGTCCTGGGACGTGAAAACTTTGGGGCAGCCGGGACACCCACGTCCCAGGGACACCAAGATGGATTCTGGATCTGCCTGGGAGGTGGGGGCAGCCGGCCCCTGGGCTCCTCACTAGCTCCAGGAACTATGACCCCTTGTGAAACGGCAGGCAGCACGCTGGCTTCCTCAGCCTGAGCGCAGGGCAGGACCCCAGCAGGGGGGGACAGACCTGAAACCCAGGCCGTTGGGAAGCCAAGCTGCTTTGCTGTGATAAGGCAGTTTTGTTCTTCAGAAACCCCAAGCCATCAAAAAATGGATATAAAAACTATTGTTTTAAGGGGCGAGGGGATGGGAGGATTAAGCACCAGAATTTTACATGTTCAATCACAAGGCTGTCTTTCCTGTAGGAATTTCAGAAACAAAGAGGTTTTAATAGCTGAAACTCTATGGCTATAAAACCTCAGTATCGCCAAGCAAATTTTGCATTTGCTGACATTTGAATTTTGCTCGGTTCACTATATTCTTTTTCTGTCGGGACCAGCTTGGTGCTTGCCGATCCATGGACCCTCTTTCCCGCTTTACAATGAGCAAAGCACCAAACCGCACAGCAACTGTATGCGCACAGCTCTGCTGGTTCCCATTCGTGACCCTCTAATGCCCACTGCACATGTGCACATTCCCCAACTAGCTGACTGCACTGTGGCCAGTGCGAGCAGTGACCATTTGAACATTTGGAAATGCCTGCCATGTTCCTAACTCCTCCTCGGGGCCGCCCAGACTCATCCACCCAAACACCCCTCTGATTAAGCCCAAAGTCACCCACAGCAAGTAATTTCCTTGAAGCCGCATGGCTTATTTTTTTAAATTCAAATCACTCTGATACACTACTCCATAATGCAGCCATGTTTATTTTAATATAAAAAACATGATTTCCCCCAATATAGTTGAGAAAAATTGTCATGCCAAGAAAATGTGCCAATGAACCCCTGAACTTCTTGTGTCCCCAGACACACAGCTCACCACACCCAAGCCCCCAGTTTGAGAAGCTGGAGGCCCCACCCCCATGAGTGGGGGTAGGAGGGAAGGCCACCCCATCTGTTTCTAGCAGGTAAACCTTGCCTCTTCGCTGGAGCCAATGGAACTAGAGTTGAGCTGATCTGATTTGCCTGAGAATTTGGAATTGACAGTGAAACCTGTCAATCAATCTGGGCTCTTGGCTGAAACTGACCGTGTACACTCAAGAGCAGGAGACAGTGATGGGGCGGGGGGGTCGAGCGGAGGGTGGGGGTTCTGTGGCCCCAGAGAGAATAAGGGAGGACTTTGGATTCTGACTGCATCCCAGTTCCAGCACCTGGCGAGGTCTGGTGCCATTTCCTAATCTTGGGTTCTGATACGTCCTGCCCCCCAGGAATCTTAATCAATATTCCTCTTGCTTTAAAGAAGAACAGGCTGGGAAGCAGGCCAAGAGCATGAGATGGAAGAGGAACAAAAACTGAAAGGGTGGTGGCAGCCTAGGCAGGCAGCAGATGACAATGTGAGTCAGGACATTATTTAATTCACCTCTGCACCACCCTTTTCCAGCACAGGTTCAGGCCTGTGGTACCCTGGGTCACCAGATCCTGAGCTGAACATGGGTGAGCTCTCTGTGCCTCTCTGGGTGTCTCCCTCTTTCCCCTCTCTGTCCCCACCCACTGGAATGCTCCAGCCACTCACCTGCCACACAGATGTCAAAGTAGTCACCGAACTTGCTTCGGATATGCTTCACCAAGTCTATAGCATAGTGGAAGCCTCCTTCCTCGTCTTTCCACTGGTCATCCACGGGGTCTGTGCGGTAGGTGGAGGTCACAGTCACGGGGGCACCCCCAGTCTCCAGGTACCCTTTTTGTTCCTTCTCCCTCTCTGTCTACCCAGGACCATGAGCCCTTCAAAGGCAGAGCCTCCTATTATTCAGGTTGGTGTCTCCTCTTCCTAGCACCACACTTGGTAATAGTGGGAGGGAAGGCAGCACCCAGACTGCCAGGTATTTACTGAGCGCCGACTCTGGGGGCAGTGCGCTGGCGGTGAACAAGGAACACGGGGGACAGCTGCTGCTCTTCGTTTAGCCTGGAGTATCTGAGACCACCCTCCACTCAAACCTGGGTCTATTCAGGCACCTCACCCAACCCCACTGCTCACTGTCCCCCTCTTGGAGTTCTTGCCTCCCGGGAAAATTTCCTATTCATCTCAAGTGAGAAGTGGTCTTCTGGTGGGGAGCACAAGGCCACAAGATTCCACCCATCGGGCTCCCTCTCTTCCCACACTTGTGACCTGACGACAGCAGGTGCCAAAGGCATAAGCAGCTATTTTGTCACTCCAGAGACAAATGCTAGAAATACACTCTTTAGGCCAAGAGATCGGTGCAGCCAGCGATCAATGAAGCTGTGTGTAGCCAGGGCAGAGAGTTACCAGGCACCAGCTGCATTCCTGACTGAACTCCTAGGTCAGGGTCAAGGGGTGGCTCCGTCTGTGTAGTGCCCACGCTTCTCACTACCCATAATGCCTATGGATGCTACCGGCAGGGATGGGACCCTGAGCATGCTCAGTGTGGGATCTGGAGAAAAGTAAAGGACCATTTCAGGGATAGAAAAAGCCTTCAGGAAAGCAGGACCCCAGAGAATAGAGTGTTGGCTCCACACCTCCCTTCAACGCCAAGATGTTCTTCAGGCCCAGCTGCTTGGCCTTGTGCAGAAGGTGTGTGATCTTTTCCTGGCTCTGACAGCAGCAGGTCATGTGCAGGATGGTCTCCAGGCCACAGTAGTTCACAGCAACGCTGGCAATTGTCATGGAGGAGGTCTCCTTGTCTGAGCCAGGGTCTCCTGCTACGTGCCAGGTCACGTCTATGAAGAGGGGGCCGCCTGCTCCCATCTGGTCCAATCTGTTAGGGAATTTCTTTCTGAAGAGGGGCCCTTGGGAGCACACCACCCTTTGCCACCTTCCCGTGGGGTCAGGGAGTTAGAGAAGCATCACAGCAGGTTGGAATCAGATTGACCTGTATTCATATCCTGGCTTTGTTACTTACTAGCTGTGTGATCTTAGGAAAATTGGTTAATCTCTCTGAGCCTCAGTTTCATTTCTACAATGTGGCAGAGAACAGCAACTACTTCATAATAATACCGTGAGACTATTATGACAGATGGCCCCACAGCTCTTACGACAGTGCCTGGTACACAGTGAGCTGCTACTATTGTGACTACTCTGAGAAGATAATATATAACAACAACGCAATCATTTTGTGTGACGGAAGCACTTTAGACTTTTTAAAGTGCTTGCATATTTATTATCTTTGGGGAATGAAGACATGTCAATGGTCAAAGGTTGGGGAACCCTCAGAGTGGCAAGCAGGACCTCATTCTAGGAATAGGGAAAAAGATGACACAAATGTTTTTCATGCTGCCCCTCCCCCCAGTCCTGATGCAGCAGCCAACAGTCCTGCAGAGCAAGGCCACAGATCAAGAACTAGACTCAAGATGCATCGGTGAGCACACACGCATTGTGTTACAAGCCATAACATGGTGTATTTAAAACATCCTTGTGCCTTAAATTTCAAACCTTGGGAGCGAAACATGAAAAGTGCAAATGGTAAAAAGCATCAACTTTAAAAAAGGAACTGTGATTCATAAAGTGCTAACATAACATAATTCAGTTAGCATTTCTAGATTTCAAGAGGCATGATCCAAATTCCTAACTTGCTAAAAATGTTCTCCAAGCCGCAGCTTTGTGACTTCCTAAACTGTACTTAGGATCCAGCTCCAACTTTGGCCAAAGAATGCAGTCTGAGAGAATCAACATTTTTAACCCATTAAGGAGTGTGTCTAAAAACCCAGATGCTTGGGGGTGGGGGGGACTTTTACGGACACCTGAGAAGCTGCTGATCAAATGACCAACCCTGCCTTTACTCTTTTCTGCTGGGTCAAAGTGGCCCTGCCAAAGGGCAACCGTTCACCTTCTCCCGCTCCCACTCCCTAATCTGGCCCTACCCCTCAACCTCACAGCAACTCACCGTGAGATGAAACCGGGAGCTCCCTCAGCAGTCCGAGGAGGGAAGAATTCTAGGGAGAACCACTTGTCACCAGATTCCATCCTCCTCCTCATCTTGTCCCTCAGTCTCTCATGCCGCTCAGGGCTCAGAGGCAGTTTGGAACATCTCGAACTAACGTTGGAGCTCTCACGGCCAATGCTGCTGCCCGCCAGGCGGGGGTTGGGGCCGCCATGCCCTCCAGGTTCGTTCACCATTGCTGAGTTCCTGCGGCACAGCGTGGAGGCAGGGGGCGTCAGAGGGCCAGAAGCCAAGCCCCAGAGTGGCAGGGTCAAATGAGAGTTGCTAAATATCCATGCAGGAAGAAGGACGCAGAGGGTAAGGAAGACAATGCCCCCACCACCGACTGGCTCAACAGGCCACAGCTATGGCTGTCTGCACTGCCTCACTCAAAGCTTTTCCCTCCGCTGCTGCCCGGTACCTTGTATAACAACCCCCACCCGGCACAGAAGAGAAATGCCCCTTCAGCCCATGGATCTTCAGTGACAGCTACCTGATGGAGGGTGGCTCAGAGAACCTCATGCTGCCTGCCTCCAAGGCCCCCCTTCCTAGGGAGGGGCAGTGGTGCCCGGCTGGGAGGACCTTGGGTATTGGATGGTCCATCTCTGCCGGCTCTGACCCAGAATGGGCTGGGAAGAAACAGAGACAACTTCCCCTGCGGGTGTGTCTCGAATGGGCGGAGCTGTGACAAAGTAAAAGCTTTAAGCTGAAGCTGGGGCCTGCGCAAGGGAGAGGTGGGCGGAGGCAAAGCCTCCCAGCGAAAGGGAGGGCTGAGGCTCTAGCTGCAGAAGGCAGATGAAGGAGGGGACGCGGCGGGCCTGAGATTGCAGAGGTTGGTGGAGATGAGGCCAACAGACGTTCAGGGTCACTGGATCACTCTCCAAAGGAACAGCTCAGCCTGGCCCTGCTTGGAACATCTCTTGTTACTTGGAACAGTTTGTGTGCGGGATAGAAGAAGGGGTGAGAGCTAGACAAAGCAGCCAGATGTCTCCTGAGTTCATGCTACCCCAAAACGACTGTGTCATGAGTTAGAACTTGATATTGGCTGGGTTCCAAAAGTAGCCAGACCCAAGTTCAGTAAGGGCATGAATTGCTGTCCAACTCAGAGCAAAGGCTGCCTTCTCGGCACAACACTGAAATCAGTTGAAGCAATTAGAGTGACTGCACAGCCACCACATCCGAAACCCTGAACCATAGCAACCACAGGCAGGCCAAAGGAGGGCACAGTGCCACTGGCCAGTTTGGTAGGAAAAATAAGACAAATGCTTAAAAACAAAACAAAACACTACTCTTGCCCAGCAATGTGCAAACACACAGTACTGAAAACCCGGTGTGTGGTGACACGAAAATTAGAAGAACAAACAGGCCAAGTTCATTCCTGTCAGGGAAAGTCCACTGCTAAGCCGGTGTTCTTAACCATTTTCGGGTCCCAGAGTCTTGAGAAACTGATGTAATCCACTGCTCCTCTCCCCCAAAACACGCAAATGCACATAACACACATTGACACACCCAAAGTCAAGGAGTCGAGACCAGACTAAGGGCACTTGAGCCAACGCTTTCTCCCCCAGGGATGCCCATTTTGATTCTGACCTAAAACTCCAGCTTCTCAGTGAAGATGGCCACTGGGATTGAGAAAGATTAGCCTCGCCGGCCTTTCTCAGGAACTCAAGAGAGTGCCTATGAATCGTTCGCTGGAACAAAACCATGAGACATGGAGGAGATGGAATCACCTACAAATCATCTGCTCTTTCGCTTGTTCAATAAAGACTTACCGCATTCCTAGTATGTGCTAGGTACACACCCTCTTTCACCCCTCTTTCTTGCGCCACTACTTATCCATTTTAAGCTGGGCTCCCATAGCACACCAGGTTGTAATTTTGTGGGTTCACAGGTTTGTCTCCCCTCTTCCCCCCCCCCCCCCCAGTTCCCTGAGTCCAGAGCGGTATCCTGCCTGTGACTGGTCCCCTGGTATCCCAGTGACTGGTACAAGGTACCAACAGCTAGCACTGAGCACCAACGGGCCAGGCGCTGTCACTTCGTTCTCAAAATAACCTTCTGCCATTTACTGAGCACTTATTTAATCGTTCCCAAGCATCCAGCAGTGCGGTTATTCGGAGCTCACCGCCCTCTGTGCGCAGCCCGACGCAGTGGGCACCGGGGGCAGCAGTGTCAGCGGCCCACGGCTCTTCTCCAGGTGCAAGGCGGGGAGACAGGTTTAAATGGTTGGGGCCGGGGAAAAAAGGGTCCCACGCCCAGGTGGCTGGAGGGCTGCGAATCGAGTCACCGGGTCCCTGGGTCCCGGGGATGCGAGCTGAGGCCGCGTCCCAGAAGCCTGGCTCACCATCACCGCCTCAGGGCAGCCTCATCCCTAGCCCTCCATCCAAGCTGGAGGCCGAAAGTCTTCGCATCACGGCTGGGGATCGATCGCTGGGGGTGGCCGTCACGGAGCGTGGCAGTCACGGAGGGTTACACTAGTCCCGCGGACGGAACTCGCAGAGGGCGCAGATGCCCCCACCTAGAGGGGGAAGGCCGGCCCCCATTGCTCCCAGCAAGTCCCCGCCCCGGGTGGTGGTCTTCGGATGCCGGGTCTCTCCACCCGGGGAATCCCAAGCCACGTCGTCACTCACCTGCTGTCACGGGTGACTCACAGCGCGCACATCAGCCGCAGTCGCTTGGCCACTGGGGGGGGCGGAGGCGTAGGCCATGCCGAGGGGGCGGGGCGCGGCGCCGGAGTTTGTTGCTAAGGGAGGCGGGCCCGGCGAGCAGAAACCACCCAAGCAGGCGACCGGAAGCTCCGCCCCCAGCATGGCCGCGCCCGGCGGTCCTGTTGGAAGCCTTCCTACCATCGTCATGTGATGCGGGCCCTCGCCCCACCCGTCTGCAGCCACTCTGTGTCTCCATCCCCAAGCTCGAGAGGGCCACGTGACCCTCCCAGGGCCAGTCACGTGAGGCGCGGATCCCGGGTGGGAGGGGGTTGGCCCTGGGGTCTGGAGTGGCAGTAAAGGAGGACGATGGCGGGGTGCAGGGGGTCCCTGTGCTGCTGCTGCAGGTGGTGCTGCTGCTGCGGTGAGCGTGAGACCCGCACCCCGGAGGAGCTGGTAAGGCTCAGGCGGAGCCGGGCTGAGGAGGGGGAGGTTGCTAAGGGACGGCTAGAGGCGTTGCCGGAGGTGGGGCTGGGCCGAACTTGGCCCGCAGGTGGTAGCGAGTAGGGCCTGGGGACCGTATCTTGGGCTCTCGAAGCATCTACCCTGCTTCACGTGCCCAAGTCTGGAGTCTTTTTTTCATAACTCTTCCCTGGAATCTGAGGATGAATCCAGGCCAACTCCAGTTAATCCCATACATATTTTATTTCCATTTGAAAGGAGTTTTGAATGAGGTTCTTCCCTGGACTTTGTGTTTATCATGCAGCTGGCTTAGTTTCTCCAGCCCTTTCTCACGCTACCCCTCACCCTTTCTGGGTCACTGACAATCCGGCTTCCCTCTGCAAAGCACCCTGGGAAAACTTGAATTGCTGGGTCCCCAGAGTTGACAGGTCCTTTCTGATTTCAGATTCTGCACTTTGTCAGATGGAACATGAATCCTCCCTCCCCTCCCCGCCCCGTTACCCCAAAAGGTGTTTTTTGAGGTCTTGTTCCCTTTGATGATAATGGCTCCAGATGATTGAGAAACTAGCAACTGATTTCAGTAAAACCTTCTGCCTGGTTCCCCTTTTAACCATTAAACGCGTCTTCCTACTGTGGATCTGTTTTCCTAGACCATCCTTGGAGAAACTCAGGAGGAGGAGGATGAGATCCTTCCAAGGAAAGACTACGAGGTGAGATTCTTCGATGAACCCTTGGGTAAAAAAAAAGTAGTGAATGACCTGGTCACTTCAGAGCAAGCATTAGGATTCTAATGCTCTGACCTTCTCTCCCAGGGACTGAGTGGATAAAAGGTAACTTCCCTCTGGGAAAGGGGCTGTTTAACAAGCCCCTTTTTCACCTCAACTGCAAAACAAAGTCTGGATGTGTCCATGCTTTCGTAGATTTATGGCACCTTAACCTGGATAAAGTAGGTGTGTTCCATTAAACTCTTTGATTTGCAACTCATAGAGACCCAGAGTCAAAGCCACTGACAGTTGTATGCGCTTAACAAGTGTTGGGCCAATAGACCTTGCTTCTCTTCTGAGAAAGCTTAGTTTTCAGAAGATTGTTTCCTGCTCACGCAGCTCGGGAATGTTCTTGATTTTAGTTCCTGATTTCAAGGAACTCTTAGAGGGGTGTGTGTGTTTAGTAAGGCTAACACTATGGGAGTGAAACTTAACACACATGACTTTTTGATCATGTAATCATTTCATGATGACTTTTCTATGACTTTTGAAATGACAGAAATAAGCCATGGTTGTGATAGAGAATTCTTAAACTATTTACAAAAAGAAGCTAGAGAAACCCATAACCCCACTCATTAAAAGATGATTATTACCACCTTATTAAATACCCTTTTTTATGCTTACATATGTGCTTTTTTTAAGTAATAAAAGCGAGATGCTACTAAATATTTTAACCTGTTTTTCTCCCCACTTGATAACAATTTTTCGTATCACTAGATACTTTTCTACAGTATCTTTAAATAGGGGAATAGTATTTGTGCCACCGTTTATTTGATCTGACTTTTCTATTTGACGAACTGCATGTTGGTGACCATCCTTTCTTGTTCATTCTTATTTATGTCCTTAGGATTAATTCCAAAAAGTGGCATAATCATGTATATGTTTAATGCTTTTCTTTTTAAGATTTTATTGGGGGAGGGGAACAGCATTGGGGAATCAGGGGAAGGGGAACAGACAAGTTGTTCTTTAGTCTAGTTGTGGAGGATGTTGCTTCACTGGCCCCGGTGAGGCAGATTGGTCACTGGCCATTGGACGGCCACTCACGGCGGCTCTTGGCAGCTCACGCCGGCTGCCGGCCACTCATGCCGGCTTCTGGCCGCTCATGGTAGCTTACCGGAGCCTACTGCAGCTCCACTGCAGCTCCATTGCAGCCTACACACGGTCGCCGGCGACTCATGGCAGCCCAGCTCCAGGTCGAGCTGTTGTTCACCATCTTAGCTGTAGAGGGCGCAGCATCACTGGTCCTCATGTGGGATCCGAACCAGGGCCCTGCTGCTCAGAACTGACGTCCCAAGCCAACTCTTAACCAACACGCCACTCGGCTGGCCCTGTTTAATGGTTTTTTAAAAATGTCGTGTAGGCTTTAAAAATTCAGTAATCTAGGGCCACAACATACTCAGACTAATTTTCTTTCTTTTCTTTTTTGTTTTGTTTTTTTTTAAAGATTTTTATTGGGGAAGGGGAACAGTGTGTTTTTCCAGTACCCATCAGCTTCAAGTCAAGTAGTTGTTTGAATCTAGTTGTGGAGGGCGCATCTCAGTGACCTATGTGGGAATCAAACTGGCAACCTTGGTGTTATGAATACTGCGCTCTAACCAACTGAACTAACCGGCTGCCCCCACAAACTAATTTTCTTAATATTTCATCTTTTGCTGCAGAATTTAATGTAACTATTATGATTGGTCATGTAGCCTGAATTTTAAAAAACCCCAACTTTTATTATAGAGAACTCGAAACATACATAAAAATGGACATAATCGTATATTGAAACCCCAGTACTCTTTACACAGCTTTAACAGTCATTCAGTTCATGATGGACCTTCTTTCATCTATGCTCCCATCCTTTTCCCTGTACACTGTGAGTAAATGAATCAGGAGGCTTCGCTGAATTCAATAACAAAGTTTTATTTAAGGGTCTCAAGATTTACAAAACAGAAACACTACCAGGTAACACCCAGAGTGATCCAAAGAGAAGGGAAAAATTGAGCATTCTTACAAGTAAAAAGTACATTCTTGAGAAAAATCGGTTCTGGATTGTTCTAAGATGGTGATCTAGATGTCAGGCAGTCTGGATACTTGAGCATTCTTTCCTAAATTCTTCAGAGGATTATCTAGAATATATATATATGGAAAAACATCCAGCCTAAGAGAAAGTTTATAAGAGTTTATTTGAGCCAACTGATGACAATTGCCGGGAAACCATCTCAACAGATTGAGAAAATGCTCCGGAAAATGGTGGGTTTGCAATTTATTTTACACATTAGAATCAAAGGAAGAGGGTTACATGAAATCCATTGGTTGTAGTTTAAGGGGATGGGAGAAAGCAAAGTGGAAAACTCTCTGGGATTGGATAAAATGTAAAATGGAGAGATACATACTTCTTTTACTTTGGGGGCACAGGATAGTTAATAGCATTTTATAGCACATAGAAATGGTATTTGGGGAACAAGATAACAATGAAGGATTTTGTAGTTTCCTGCTCTGGTGTGGTGGGTTGTGTTGGGGGTGTTCCGGAAAAAGGGATTACTCTGACGATCCAAGGGTATGTTATCTTAGATGCAAAAAGACAACAGATAGGCTCACTTAAGGTAAAGATTAACCTTTGTCTGGGAAGCTATAGGCCAAGGATGTGACTTCTTGACATGGCCCACCTTAGGAATTTTTATGTTCAGGACATCCTATGTGGTTATTTTCAGTCTCCTGAGCTTGTCAGGTTTAACATGTGGCCCCTTTTTCCATATATACGTATAGTGATAGAAATATATATCTATAGAGATATATATCTATATATCTATCTACAGGCATTGAGGTACAACTGAAAAGTTCAAAAGTTTAAGCCCTTGGTCTTGTTTAAGTAAAATAAAATCTATTCCTCATGTTTCAGACAATTCTGATTTAAGTAATTTATTAGCTTGGCTATGATGACTCCATTTTGTTTTTTCACTCTTTCCTCATCTCCCTTCCCAGATTATTTTGAAGGAAATTCTAAACATCACATCATTTTATCCATAAATAATTCGCAGCGGTTCTCAACCTTTCACAGGGGTCACCTAAGACCATTGGAAAACACATATTTTCGATGGTCTTAGGAACCGAGACACCGCTCCTCTATCCGTCTCCAGGCCCACATGCAGATACGCCCACATACGAGTACCCAGCGACCCCTGTGAAAGGATCGTTCACCCCCAAAGGGGTCGCGACCCACAGGTTGAGAACCGCTGTTCTAGAGCATAAGAACTTTTTTTAACATAACACCATACCATTTTCACACCTAAGAAATTAACAATAATTCCTTGATATCAATTGTCCAGTGTTTAAATTTCCAGTTGTCTTATAAATGTCATGTATTTTTTAGTAGTTTGTTTAAATCAGCTTCCAAATAAGGTCCTCATATTGCATTTCTTAGTTATGTTTTAATTTTTTTCTATTAATAGCTGTAGGTTCCCTCTTTATCTTTTTTTTTTTTTTCTTGAAATTTACCTGACAAAATAATTGTAGGACTCTGGAATTTGCCACTTGCACCAGCATGGTATTGTTTAATGTGCTACTCTGATGGGATTCCTTTAATCAATCAGAAAGCACAGTATCCACTGGTATATTTTCTCATATTTTAAAAATACTTTGTTTCCTATACGTAGTTCAAAGGTTTGCAAGAATTAGTGTAAGACACTCCATATTGTGCTGTCATGTCATTGAACTTGGTGATACCTTCCTGTGTTCCCATGACTGAAACTCCTGGGAGCTCACCACAGCTTCACGCCTCTATTGACCCTGCTGTTCCCAAGGCTCCTTCACTTCTTTCACTAAATTGCACTTACTCGTATATTTGTAATGCACCTACTTTCAGTTAATATACACATTTGTGTAAATTTTATGGGTTGATGTTCTTTCACGTGGGTAATGACTATTTCTTAATTAGCCATCTTCTGAGTTAGAGCTTCTTGAGAGCTTCTTGCTTTGTATAAGACCAAATTCAGCTAGGCACTTAATCAGAAAAGTCTGCTCAGATTGTATTCATTAAGGCTCAACTAGAAAACCCTTCTGTTGAAAATCTTTCTAAAATGTGCTCCTTGCCTTAGTAAGAGTGCATTGCACATACTTGACTCTTTCTTTGATAAGTTGGGGGTCTTACAAGATGCTAGAACCCCCCTTTTCTTTTTTCTTTTTTTAACTGAGCCATCCTGCCACCTGTTGGCACCTCAGCAGCAGCTCAGCTCCCGTTGGGAATCGAACCGCTATTGCTCAGAGCTCAAACTCTTGAGCGAGCTCTTAACCAACTGAGCTACTCGGCCGGCCCTAGAACCCCCTTTTTGACATCCATTCTCATAGATAGTTTGAAGAAGAATAACTCCCTATCTGTGGGACGGTGCCATTATTGAACAGTAATGTTTTCATGCAGGTCACAGAGCCTATATTGCTTTTTTTGAGTTAGAAAAAGGCACCCCTCAGAGCAGAGGACTTAGACTAAAAAGCCTACCCCCCTGGGCTGTAGCAACGCTCTTAGCTTAAGGGCCGCCCGAATGTGCTTTTTGTGTGAGCACTAGGTGTCTCTCCTGGTTGAATTTGGGCTGCATTTCAGCCCCAGCCTGCTTCCTTGGCCAGATGCCATTTTGCTCAGAACCACTGGCAGCAGCCCTCCAGGGCATATGTAAATTTTTTTTTTTTAAATGTTGCCAGTCTCCCAAACCAAAGAGCAACATATACAGCAGAAATAAAAGGAAGAAGTCATGGCAAAGGAGAAGTAAGAATATCTGATTTTAATAACATCATATAGCCCATTGGTACATGTTTACAAAGTGTCAGGCTCTCAACTGATTTATTTAAAAAAAAGAAAAGATTGATGTTCTAGCGAACAGTGTTTTGGTTTGTTTTGTTTTTTTAAAGATTTTATTGGGGAATTGGGGGAGAGGAATAGTGTTGGGGAATTGGGGAAGGAGACCAGCCAAGTTGTTGTTCTTTAGTCTTCGTTGTGGAGGGCGCCAGTCGCCATCTGGCTTCCTGTCGGCAGTTTGTGGCCTCAAAGCTCAAGGTGCTGTGTTCAATCTTAGTTGCAGGTGGGGGTAGCCACCATCCCATGCGGGAGTCGAACCAGCAGCCTTGTTGTTAAGAGCGCATGCTCTATCCACTGAGCCATCCATGCAGCAGCTCAGCTCAAGGTGCCGAGTTCAGTTTTAGTTGCGGGTGGGCATAGCCCACCATCGAACAAGATTGCCAATCTTGTTACACCAGCTGAGCCATCCTGCCACCTGTTGGCAGCTCAGCAACAGCTCAGCTCTGGCGCAGTGTCACTGGCCCATATGGGAATCGAACTGGCGGCCCTGTTGCTCAGAGCTCGCACTCTTAAGCCAACTCTTAACCAGCTGAGCCACTCGGCCGGCCCTGAACAGTTTTATTGAGCTGTAATTCACATACTATACAATTTACCCATTTAAAGTGTACAATTCAATGTTTTTTTTCAGTATAGTCACAGAGTTGTGCAACCATTGCCAAATCAATTTTAGAACATTTTCATCACCTCAGAAAGAAATCCTTTACCCATTAGCATCACTGCCCATTCCCCTAGCCCCTGATCCTAGGCAACGACGAATCTACTCTCTGTCTCCATAGAATTGCCTATTCTGGACATCTAAAAACCTTTTACATGTTTGTGGAGTCACAGCATTATTAGACAAAGCCATCAAGCAAATAATTGGCCAGTAATTTCTATAAATATTTGGTATGAAGGATATTCATAGTTTTCAACATTTTAATTCCTGTCCCTGTTAGTTCCTAGAATGTGATGTCATTCACTTGATTAAAAAATATATGTATATACTTAATCACTCACGGATCAGTCTAGTTTCCCAGCAGAATTATTTTTTACTGACTGTGGTGTTTTGTTATGTAATCAGGAAAAAAAAATTGTTTTCAAATGTAAAAAGTACACCATGTTTCCTATAAGAATGTCAAACAATACCCAGATGTGAATACCTCCTAAAATACCACCTCAGAGGTAACCACTGTTAACAGTTTTCCCAGATGTTTTTGCTTTATGTACGCTGACACACCAATAATCGTGATTTTACTTGGTTTTACGTGGTTTTACGTGGTTTACTCAAAATGGAATAATATTTTACACATTATGACTTTTACCCACATGTCTCTCTTTCAGAGTTTGGATTATGATCGTTGTATCAATGACCCTTACCTGGAAGTTTTGGAGACGATGGATAATAAGGTGAGTCCCTTATTGCTCTCCTGGGATTGAGTAGGTCTTATGACAGTTTCTTTTTCTGTAAACGCTCTTGTAAATACCTTTGTCTCTTGGCCTGTTAATCCCTTTCATGAAATATTGGCATTTATCCCTTGGACCTTCATCCTGCTCACGAGAGAGCACCCACTGGTCCAGCCCCTTGGAGTTCATTATATTTGCATTGTAAAACACCCTCCGTATCAACATCACCTTTGCCTTTTTTGCTGCCCAGGTGAACTTTACTCTAAAAATGGTAGGCCAGGATGCGTTCCTTCCATGCTGCCAGCATAACCCTGTAACCAACGGAGTCATTCTTTTTCTGTAAACAGAAAGGTCGAAGGTATGAGGCGGTGAAATGGATGGTGGTGTTTGCCATCGGAGTCTGCACTGGGCTGGTGAGCAGGCGGGACGTGGGGAGGTGGT